CTGTTGTAATATTTGCCGCTGATGGAATGGAACCCTGTAAGGTCGTTTCGCGATTGGATTCACATTATCCGTAACAATTTTGTGCTGCACCTTATGGGTACATGATAAAAAATTTTCATTATCACTAAATAAACGCCTATACCTGCTGAGAAATTCATACATTAATTGTTGATTTCGTTCATTCAAATGAGAAAAATCAAATTCCTTACTAATCCAGTCATAGTCTTCATGCGTTATTACATTCACTTGAACCTCTTTACCCACTACTTTTTGACTTCCCCCTGTATAATTTTCATAATGTCCTACTAGAGTATTTTTCTTCAATTTCACCGAATAATTGTTCATATTTATAATGCGCACTGTATTATTTTCTATTTTTGTTACCATAGCTGCTACGTACACTCCTGGTACATTTATTTCTACTGGTTCAACAAAAATCAATTCTTCAGCTTCGAAATGATTTTTGTTTAAATAAACAACCTCAATATCCATTTCGCATTTCTCGGGTATTTCCATATCATTTAAAATACAAACATGTAGACTTATTTTCTTGGGACAATCGGGTTCATTATGACTCATTTTTCCGATCACTTTTGAGTACTCATTATCTTCATCAGCGTTTTCGCTCCGTGGAATCGAAACTGTGACTTGATTCTCACCATTCTGCTTACGTGCATCTTTCACCGACTCAAACTTATCGCCACTATTTATTTGTTTATTATAACTACTCAGATTACTCTTTCCGTCCGCCTTCAACATGTTATCACACGCTATTTGCTCACTTTTGTTTTCTATAAAATCCTCAAATTTTTTCTTCTTATCAACACATTCTGCTCGATATATCTCTATTTTGTTTTCGCGATCATTTTTTTCTATAACTTCCTTTATTACATTATCCTCATTGATATCACCCTGTATCGAATTCTCTTTTCGCTTCAGTATATCATTTCCGTGACTATTTTGACCACTACCATAATCACTCTTATTTCTTTCTATTATTGAGTCCCTATTTTCAACTATATTTCCTTTTGAATCTAAAATTACCTTTCCACCCACTGGTACAACTAATTCATCCTTACCACAGTTGACAGCTGAAGAAGTTCTTCCCTTACTTAGAGTCCAAGAACTAATTTCAACCGCATCAATTGTAGTATCAACCCTTTTCATCGAATCCCCTGTTTTTCCCTTACTTAGAGTCAAAAAACAAGGTTTCTGGAAATCGGCATAATAACAATCCCTATGTTTATTAACTTTTAAAATCCTTTTTTCATCTAACATCTTTCTACTTCTTCTATCCCCCTGGTATTCATCTTCAGTATTCTCAAAATTACTCCTACTAACATATCCTAACTCTTTCTTTGCCCTATTGTCCTCACATTTGTCATCTTCTAAATTTATTGCCATCCCATTTTCCTCATAACTATCCTTTTTATCTGTTATTTGTGCACTATTTTTACACATATTCTCGTAATCATCAATACTAACGTTATTAGCCCTATGATTTTCCTTAACTACAGGACAGTTATTATCATTCTCTTTTCGTTCCCCCTGTACATTATATTCGAGTATCGTTTGTTCAATATTCTTATTATTATTCAATGGTATGTCATCATTTTCCATTAAACTTTCATTCAAGCTTTCATCTGAGTAATAATTATCTTTCGGCACATCTCTCGTATTCACAGTAGTCATATTTAATCCATAATTATTTTCCTCTACGTCATCAGTTCCAAGTTTTCTTTCACCTCTCAAATCTTGCATTGATATTTCTATTCCCCATATTTTCAACATATTACTTTTAAAACAAATTTTCGCCCCATTTCTACTGAGAAAATCTCTTCCTAAAATTCCCTCCGCTTCTAAAGGCACATCTTTGGAACAAACTATAATAGCAAAATGATCAGATATGAGTTTTTCTGAATAACTAACATTAACGATGGCAGTCCCTAGCACATTAACATTATGCCCAGTAATGCCACATAAATTAACTTCCGAATTTTGAAAAATTTCCACAGATTTGCTCAATTTATTTTGTTTTATCAAAGTGACCGCGGAACCTGTATCTATCAAAAAGTTTACCAAAATTCCATTCAACCACAAATTCACTCTTCCAAAATGTTCCTGATTACTTAATTCGCTCAATATGGGTATTTGAAAACTTGTTTTAACACTTTTTTCTTCTGGGTATATTGGACAAGATTCTAATTTCGCATTTCCTCTCGAGGCCTGGAAGAAATACTCTTCTCGTTTAAATGATCATAATCATTGCGGTGAAATCCTTCATTATTAGTACCTAATAATTTTCGAGTAGCCCCGGTAGCTACAGATGGACCCTTATTACCAAAAGATGATGTTCCTTCTTCATTATCCATGAAATTTCCTGGTCTATTACCACAGAAATTTCTATTATTCACTCTTTCCATCTCCTTATTAAATCCAGCATTTACTTCATAGTTTCCTGTCTGAAAATTTCTACCCCTGGTTTTATTATTCCAATCTCTTTCCTGACCCTGATTATCATTAGCGTTATAATAACTCCGTTGTCCCTTGAAATTATAATCATTATTCTGCGGTCTTGATTCATATTGGTTCCAATTGCTAAAATTACTATCATTCCTTCTGTTGAAATTATTCGAATAACCGCTCCTATTAAAATTTGAATTATTTTGCTCCCTAGTATTTCCTGGAGTATTTCCTGAAGTATTTCCTGAAGTATTTCTACAATCCCTAGCCATATGACCAGTCTGTCCACATTGGTAACAAGCGCCTCGAGTATAGCCCTCCGTGCGCACTGTATTCACATTAACTCTCTCAGAACACGGTTTCAACATCAATTCGTTCATTTCTTCAAATCGTGCCAATTCTACCGCTTTATCAATAGTCAGATTTTGCGTTCGCATAAATAAAGAACCCACATTTTTCAAGAGATTTTTGTTCATTCCCATTTTAAACTGATTGAGAATCAACTGTTCTATTTTTTTCTTGATACCGGGTGTTTCGTCTACAGTAGCGTTCATCAAATCTTCCTCCAAAATATTCATTCCTATCATTTTGAGTCTAGTTGCATACTGGGTGACGTCCTCATCATGTCGTTGATAACATCTATTCAAATTCATTAATGATTGTCCTGGTATAATCACTGTCGAAAATCTTTTAATAAATTTTGCCTTAAAATCGTCATAACTGGCAGTTTCTAATGTCGGTTCTGTCCGATAATATACGTAGGCGTCTCCTACCAACCGAAATTTAACAATATCTAATGTTGTTTCTCTAGTCCATTTATCTAATTTTGCCCTTTGTTCTAATTTCTCAAAATACCTCTTAACATTACTTCTTCCTGAAAATGGTTCGACCGTATTGGCTATCATCCCCAAACTGACAGCAACCGGGTCCATAGCAGGTTGTGCCTGACCGATTTGTGTCATTATAAAACTATTTTTGTCACAACTCTAAGAAAAAAAAAATCAATTACATCAATATCCCGAATTTATACCATATATCAATACCCTACATTGATACCCTAAATCCCACTTTGGCTGCCACCATTGTAACCTCCAGCTACCTATTCAATATATGATAGCTGTGGATAATAATTAAAAAATAGATGTTATAGTATAATGATATCCATATCTCTCATTTGTCGCCTTCTCAAGTTGTGTCGTCTCTCGTACCTCCACTCTGATGAGACTACTGACCACTTGTCAGCCTAACCCTTTTCGTACGACGATGCTAAAGAACTCCAGGACAACCCTGGAAGTCCGTCAACCCCTGTAGATATGCTGCCACCACCTAGTGTTTGTCCGCACTAGGACGGATATTATATAAATTATAAAAGCCACTGGTTCGAGATGCCTGGGGTTCGTAGCCCTGTACCGCTGTAAAGCAGATTCGTTTGGATCTAGGGTATATTTTTAGGGGTAATTGGTATTCAAACGCATTACTTCAAAAGGAAAATAACCAAACTTATATTGCACTATTAAAACAACTTATTACACAAAAACAGAATATGACAATAGAAATAGGAAAAATAAAAAAAACCAGAAGAAAGATAGAACCCGTTCAAACAAACAACAATTAAAAGATTTGGAAAATGGTTCTTAATAAAAGGAAAAACAAATTAATTTTATCTCAATAATAACATAGAAGAGGAGCTTTCCCTGCATCCAAACGATAAGCAGATAAAATTGATCTGATCTCACCCAAATAACTCTGCATCAACGACGACCTGGTATAACCATCCCTATAGGTTCAGCTACAGACCCTTCTTTCTCCCTATATATTCACATTAACAAATTAGTACCACTCTATATTAACGCGTTCGCGTTCTCGCGGCAGTATAAATATCAATTGAATTTTAATAACAAAAAAATAACCAAAACCAAATCAATCTGCAAGTTGCGCAAATTGAATATTCAAAAATATGAATGGAAGATTAAACCATAATGTAAACTTTAACACCGATTTCGCATCTTAAGTTTTACCCTTCAGGGCTGTTTTCGCGTATTCCGAAACCGATCTCTCGACGTCAATATCTCACGCTCACTCCTCTTCGATATCTTCGACCCGACTCCCTGATTTTTCTTTCGTCTCTCTCTATTCCCAAGTCGTTCTAATGTTCAAAACGCTGATTTTGCAATTCTAGTCGAACCGTAGAAATTCGTTCGATGCAATCTGTTTATAGCTTTTCAAATACAGGGTGGCTGTTACACTATTCCATGTGGGATTTGAACAGGAGACCATAAGATTGAGAAGCCAATGTCTAACCACTGTGCTACTAACTGTCTTGGATCTTTTTGTTATACAGAATGAATGTATTCCACTGAATGGTCAGTAGTCTAGAGAAAAAGTATAGTTAGCCGACTGGTCGGCAGCCATACACTTCCTTTCTTCTTTGGTATGGATCACCTTACAGACTCTCACCTCTTTCATCATAAACTGAGACTGATAATAAAATTATTTCTTCTGGTAAAAACAAGGTGAATGAGCAAGAAAACACTCACCAAATCCATTATCTGTTAGATACTTCAATTCTGAGGAGGTAGGCAGAAAGTCTGCGTTGCTCCTCCTCAACAGAAAGGTGGCTTTCTTGACTGTGTTGTTTTTTCTTCTACCAGGTCCAGCGCCAGATATTGGACGACGGAATGACCTCCTGGTATTAGTGAGAATGTCCTCAAAATCATCATCCGATGAGCCGGCATCAGCTGCTGACACTGCAGCATTCACTAAGCTCGAGACTATACGATCACTATCCATGTCGCTGGCAATAGTCGCAGTTCAATTATAACTTTTGACTTCAGATCTTTGATTATAAATTGTACCTCTTCACAAATAGGTTATTGCTATTTTGAAACTGTATGAGGCTCGAATAACGTTGGCTCGGCGGGTTTTCTATGCGAAGCACTATCAAAATAATGATAATGAAAACCGCCAAATTAACCAATAACCATGACCATAACCAAACAAAACATTCAATCACAATCATTAGTATTGTCACTTGTCAAGGAGAGTATACAGAGAAGGAGTGCTAGATCCCTATCTTCCAATGTATTCCCTAAAATGTGACGTCATGCTGATGCCTTTCGCATCTCTTTTGTTTTCTGTGATCATGCCGTGATCCTATTGGTCGAAATAATACACAAAACATAAACAAACATGGCTGAAATATTAGCAAACGCGCGCTAATTTTACATCTTTCAAAGCTTTCCAAGGTTTCTTTGTGTGATTTGAGTGATTTGTGAAAAATTGTTCATGTTTTTAATTCATGAGTGATCACTTATCAGCTTTCAACCATTGAATTACCAGATTATAGAAAGAGACTTTCGAAGCCTCCTAACCATTGTGAATTTGAGTGCATACAGAGACTTTTTACAGCCTGTGAAGTACTTTTGCAAAGAACAACTTCATTGTGATCCTTGTACATGAATACACATACCTACAGTTGTATATTTCTCAAGATTGACCGAAAAAATGCCTGGAATGCGCTGTGCTGTTTATGGCTGCAATAATGCCTATTCCAAAACTGCAGGAGCTGGTATTATTTTTCATAGCTTTCCTCGTCCTATTACCATCAGACAAGAATGGATAACCAGATGTAGGAGGAAAACAACATTCAATCCAGATTCAAGTAGAATTTGTTCTTGTCATTTCACAATAGAAGATTATGAAAGAGACTTAAAGAATGAATTATTAGGTAAAGATAGCATTTCTCACAAAACTATATGCTTGACTTACAGATAACAGTTGTATCTATCATGCATTTTGTTACAGGTTTACCCTTGAGGAGGGTTTTGAAAAAAACTGCCATTCCTACACTGGAACTGGCAGAAATTCAACAAAACTATGATGCAGGACTACTTTATTTAGATATGGCTGGTGATACTACTGGCAGTGCAATTCCAGAAGACGCTGGCAGTGCAATTCTTGAAGATACTGGCAGTGAGATAAGGGAAGATACTGATGAGTGCAATTATAATATTGCTTCAACTTCAAAAATATCAGAGAAGAAATGTCAGGATATAAACTATGAGGCCAAATATAATGAAATGCTCAAAAAATATACATTGTTGAGGAAAACAAGTACCATCAGGATTAAGGCATTGAATGTTCAATTGAAATATTATAAAACCAAATGTAACAAACAGAACTTGAAAAAATCGGAAATAGCTTCTGATCTACTTCACATGGTGCTTACACAGAATCAAATTGATCTGCTGTCAAAGAAAAAGAAAAGGGTGAACTGGACTAGAGAAGAAATAGCTGTTGCATTCACATTGCGCTTTTACAGTAAGAAGTGCTATCTCTATTTGAGAAATAAACTGCATTACCCATTGCCATCATTATCTTCACTAAGAAAATGGGCTTCACAAATAAATGTCAGCCAAGGAATTCTAATTGATGTATTGCTTATGTTAAATCTGGCTGGAGAATCATTCACCCCATTTGAGAAAACTGTAGTTCTTCAGTTTGATGAAGTGAAAGTGAAAGCAGTTGAAGAGTATGATGTATTGAAAGATGAAGTTTTGGGACCATACAATCAAATGCAAGTAGTCATGGCTAGGGGCCTTTTTGCTCAGTGGAAACAACCTGTTTATATTGCTTTTGATCAAAAGATGACAAAAGAAATATTATTCAATGTGATATCTGAACTGCACAAGATATCTTTTAATGTTGTAGCTTGTGTCAGTGATTGTGGAGGAAGTAATATTGGTTTGTGAAATGAATTGCAGGTAGATATAAATAATACTTTCTTCAAACACCCTGAAACAAACAAGAATGTTTATATGTTTGCTGATGCTCCCCATTTGTTGAAATTGGTACGAAACTGGCTTTTAGATAAGGGTTTTCAATTGGGGGATGGTTCAGTTATTAATAAAACTCCTTTACAAGCTTTGGTCTCTCTGACAGATACTGAAGTGAATACTTGCTGGAAGATAAATGAAAAACATTTGAATTGTGAAAAAAGTCAACGTCAAAACGTTAAGCTTGCTGCTCAACTATAGTCCAATACTGTGTCTACAGCTCTTTCACACTACAAACCTAGAGATGATGAACAGATGGCAGTAAAATTGTCTAATTTTATAAGTGACATAAATGAATGGTTTGATATATTCAATAGTTATGTTTGCAAAGGAAGAGTTCCAAGCAAGAATCCTTATGGAACTGATCTAGAAAATCAAAATAAACATTTGGAGAAGATGATCAAATTGATTTTACAAATGAGACCAATAGGAAAAAGTACTCATTTACAAACTTTTCAAAAGGGGATGATAATGTCTATCAAGTCTCTCCAACTCTTATTCAAAGATATGAAAAGTGAATTAGATATAAAATATATTTGCACATACAAACTCAATCAGGATAGCCTAGAAAACTTTTTTTTTCAAATCAGAAGCAGAGGAGGTCGAGATGAACATCCTAGTCCACTTTCAGCTATACACAGAATTTGAATGATAATTCTAGGAAAAAACCCAGGGATTTTGGAATCTAAAGTTAATACAGAAGCTGGAGTTATAGATGAGTATTTGAGTCCTAAAGTTTTAGAAACAGCAAAAGTTAATATGAACACTGAAGAACCAAAAACATTAGAGTCAAAGAGTAGCTCCTTTTCATCATCAAGTAGTGATGATACAATAAATAATGAATCTGATTTCAATAGTTCATCTGTGGAAACTACAGATGATGCTTTGGAATACATAGCAGGCTACCTGGCAAAGAAATATAGGCATATTTCAAATTTAGGTGACTTCACTCATAAAATGAGAAGTGATCATGCCTATAATATACCTTCTTGGGTGCAACAACTGTCTTATGGGGGACTAATCAAACATACAGATCAGTGGCTAAGAAGAATAAAAAGATGGAATAAATATTTTGTTACTCACCATGGAGAATCTTTCAGGAAAAACCCAAGAGTTGTTGGCAAGTTAGCATTGAAAATATTTAAAAAAGAAAGAAATATGCCTTATAAGTTAATCAAAGATTTTTGCAAATTACGAACCATCATAAGGATAAAATTCAGAAATTTAAAAGCCATATCTTCCAATTCTGCTAAGAGGAAAATTGTAAATTTTGATTCATCTAGAAGAAAGATAAGAAAATTGAACAAAATTCTGAAATAGATATCCTCTACTATCCAAAAGTGACTTACCTCCAGTGTTGTTTTGGGAACTAGAATAGATGATATCAATAAATCCCAAGTGAATTTGGATTATTTCAAATAATTCTTGGACTCATTTTGTTGCATAAGACCTAACTACTGCTGTCTTCAAAATATGCATGGAAAACACAAGATATTGTAGAAACGAAATCTAGACTTATTTGTTCACTAAGACAAGACAATGTTTCCATAAACAAGCTTCCACTTCAAGATTTGAAATTAGGTAAGAAATGAAGTCACCTTCAAAATACCCTTGTCTTCAATCAAAAAATTGTCTTTAAAATAAAATAACCTTTATTCTATTTCAGGACTATCAAGTAGTAAACCATTACAGTTTCATTGTAAAATTAGAAATATATTCTTATAAATACTCAAGAAGACAGTTATACCATCACAAAAAGTTACTTAGCAATTTTCATAAAATAGTCACATTCCATCAAGGTTGAACATAACAGAAACACGAGACCATTCAGAAAAATTATTGGAAGTAGTCTGAGATGATACTGGTCAAGAACAAATACAAGTCCATTTAAGTCCAATCATCAACAAATGTGAAGAGAATTTCATCAACTTTATACTACCTAGGTACCTAAGTACAAGAATATGGAAACAGTGATTCAATGCCAGGAGATACATATAGAAAGATACATCTTTAATGAAACTCTTGACATAAGTCAGCAGTTGAAAGTTTGTAGAAAGGAAAGTTACTCTATATGAAAAATGAGTATTTTAATTTTTCACAAGTCAAAACATTACTTTTAGTTTCAGATTAGCAATGCAGCTTATTGGTTATTGAACAAAATCTGGCAGATAATTATTTTTATGATTAAATTGCTTGAAATGTATCCTACAATGTTCATACCTACTCAAGAAAATTGTTAAAAGGAAAGTTGGCCCTATTTTATCAAAAATATTAATACTTTGTTTTTGAAAAGTCAAAACATTATTACTTTGTTTCAGATTAGCCATACAGCTTATCGGTTTTCAAATTGGATTGTATTGAAAGAATCTTTGGAATAATTATATTGGAAGAATCTGTAGAATAATTATATTGATATAATCAAATTCTTTGAAATGTGTCCTACAAAATCAACTACCTCCAACTGAATTGGCAATTGTTTCTATTTGATTTGTTACTGAACCATGTGAAAATTGATTTCTCATAACTTAGGGGGGTCATGTGTTTTTGTGGGTTTTCCTCATGTCATATATTGGGAATATTATTTGGATCAGAAAATATACAAAAACAGATACTTTGAAATACTTACAGATGTTTTTACCTTTTCAATTATTCCCAATATAAGCAAATGCACCACTATTACTGTTCCTACTGAATAAAATGAATTGATTTCAAGTTTTGTTTTTATTCCCCTATAGATCAATAAGGAAATTAAAGTCTTATCAGAAAATCAATTTTAAAATTTTCAAATTTAATCACAATACTCATGACAATTAGTGAAATGATAATGTAACATATTGTTACGTTATTCGGGTGCAGAAGCGAACACGACACTATTTATTTTCCAACTGATTTATTTAAACTAAAGAAACACTAATTTATATCGAACTTATAACTACTATTTATGTAAAACGATTT